AGGTAGCGATGTGGTAGGTGGCGGTGTCACATTACAAAATTGCCCTTTTACCTTAGTTCATTAATTGGGGGTCAAAATAACACTAACATTCCTAAATTTACCAAAATTTAGCTTTAAAATCTAAATAGAAAAGCAATGCCCATGTCGAATTTTGTGTTCCATAAACTTTATCTCTCAAATTGTTGTGCACTACGTTTACTTTTAGGTTCATGGCGCAACTAGAATAAACTCTCCTTCAATGAGATAGTCCGAATTTATGTGGTTTGGTTTCTTAATTGTCTGATTTATCTAGTGCTTCATGTAACTGTTTAAGTGGCCATTACTCACTTTAAAAGTTTAAAATATTAAATGATTTAGAAAAAGGTACTTCAAGGATAAAATAGAAAAGTTCAACAATGTATTGAAAAAATCAAAATTTCAAAATTTCCTTCATTTTTAACTTAAATTTTAGAATTAAAATTTTAAGAAAATACAATTTAATCCTAAGGAAAACGATTCAGCACTCATAATATACTATTTGTTCGACAATTATAATAGCTCATCACATTTTTAAGCAACAACCCCATTAGGCTAGTGCTGGCTGTTCTAACTGAATAACTGATCTGGCTCTGCTAGCGTCATTATGAGAGGACACTAAACCATAACTAAGATCTAAACATGTGAAATACGAAAAGTACATATATGAGTAGTCAATTATCATCCAATAGCTTCCATGGGAGGGTTCTTCATCCTCTCCACATACATAAGTATTTATTAAAATCACGTGAAAAGCCCATTCATTCAGAAAAGTTAAGAGCGGATTCATAATTTTAGTGTTAGAGGAAGAAACAAATAGGGGAGCGAGTCAAGTGCAAAGTGGGCAAAGCCTAGAGAGAAGGGAGAGAGATTTAGTGGGCCTAGAGAGGAGAGCCTAAAGTGACCAAGCTTAGAGAGGCAAAAAGCCTCTAATACATGTAATGGACCCCCCATATTTATAGAAGATAGAGGGCCAAATGTGGAAAATTATATATATTTCCCCTACTTTAATAAGGGTGTTATAAGATATCATAGTCTTTTATCGGCCCTTCTCGTATGGCCTGGACCTTGTGCTCGACATGGGTCGGACGGTCGAACTGGTTTCAGTCGGTTATTTTGTCTGGATACTGATCGACCTTCGCTCTGCAAAGTCGGACAACTTTGAAAGTGGTAGTTGGTCGGCCTTAAGGTGGCGGGAGGTTTGTTTGTTATTCGGTGATTTTTAGAGATTTTTTGAGAAAGTTGTTGAGAGTGTTTCACGTTGATACTTTCGTGATTGATGGGGTGTTGAACTTTTGTCCAGTCGTTGGTAAGGATGCTTATCTCTTGTTGGGCTGGGTAGCCTTTTGGTCGTCCGACTAGCCTTCAATCAATCGGCAGTCCTTCGGTCGGCTGGTGATCTTCAGCCTTAATGAGTACTCGTCAAAGGAATGATCCAAGATTTAATCTCTTTTAATCTGAACTGTTAGATTATTTCGAGATTCGTGCAGATCATTTTTGGGTATACATATTAAGTCTTACAATTTTCTTGCTCATTGATGGGAACAACTGCGATATGGATAAAGAAAATTTTAATACAATAAATCAAATCTTAATAATCATAATTTAATGTAGTGATTAGGCTCCCTGGTTTTCCATGCCCATGACCCTTATATATGGAGCGCAGTAGACAATTCCCAATATCTTGAGTCTGTCCCTCCTTGCATTCGCTCGACTTATGTGATGTCCTTATGGAGAAAGGATCTGGTTTGGCACTTAAACTTGTCGATCGAACGAGGATGCTAGCTGCTATTAGAATAAAGAAACAACACCGATCGGAAGGAGAGCCAAGGAAGAAGTGGGAGAAGAAAGTTGCTAAGAAGTCGAAGCCATTTGAGCGAGTGGAGGTGGAGGAGTCGTCGGATTCAATCCTTGAAACTCCATAAGAGGTTCAACCCAGAGCTGGGAAAGAGCTGAGTGGTTCGGCGACTAGCCCATCAACAAAGACTCTAGTTGAGGTTTTGGGTCAACCAAAGATTGCAAGTTCTCTTTCGCCGATTGGTGTACCAGGAGTTGTTGAGGACGATCAGCCAGTCAGAGTAAAAGGAGTGGCTTATGATTTTCATCATTGGATTTCAGCGGAGTTACTTGGTCCGAGCTGGATCAAATCCTAGGTATGTGTTTTCGTTTTTATTTTTCACTTAGATTTTTTCTTTTGTTTTTTTTTTTGCTTATTAATTTTTGTTTCTTTTAGATGAGGACGCTTGGATCAGGGGTTTGTTGATTGTTGGTGATAGCTAAAATCCGACTGTGGTGGTGGCTCCCATGCTCCAAGCGTCGTTCAACAGTGAGGAGAATGTGGTCAACTACTTAGCCGATCTTATGGAGATCTGGTAGGAAATAATTGAGGGATTTCGAATGTCCCCGAGAACCCTAACACATCGCCTGGATGAGATGGAAGTTACTTTAGTTCGGGGGGTGGAGGATCTTGGAGCGGTGCTGGAGGAGATGCGAGGGAAGACAACCATTCTACGTCGAGAAGTTTCTGAGCTCCAAGAAGATGCCATTGTACGGAGGATTCGTTCTAAGGTTGATTGAGCGAACCATTTTAAGCTCGACGATCACATGTTGTATAGGAGATTAGTTAGGAAAGGTTTAGTTCTGGCCGAGATGGTTAAGGAAAAGTTTGTAAAGTATCTGTTGTAGGACTAAGATTTGAGTGTAATTACTATTTTTGAAATAAAAATATTTTGTTTTCCTTTTTATTTTGATTTTTGTGTTGATGTGATGTTTTCTCTTGAATTCATGCGCAGCGACTCTACTTCCGATGGATAAATAGGGGTTGAAGTGTTCATTTGAGAGAGTCCGGCTTTGAGAGTGATAGCGATCAGCCTTAGGGTAGTCGGTCAGCTTTGCTTGTTCCTTTGTGATCTTTAAAATTTCTTTAAAAAAGTTTTTGAGAGTGTCTCACATTGATACTTATGAGATTGTTAGGGGAGTTAAATTTTGTTTGGTCATTGACGTGGATGTCTATCTCTTGTTGACCTGGATGGCGTTTTGGTCGTCTGACTTGCCTTCGAGCGATGGACAGCCCTAGCGGTGTTCATTCGGTCGGCTTCATCAGTACTTATAGCTTTTCATCAAAGGAATGATCCTTGATTAATCTCTTTTAATCTGAACCGTTAGATTGTTTCAATACTCATGTATATCATTTTTGGGTGTACACCAAACAATATTATTTAGAAGGAAGAAAATTGTTGTAACGTGAAATCCCTCATTAAAAATTACTTTCTTCCTTGATGGGATAGTCAAACACGCATAAAGTCTTAATTGTGAGACTACATAAGGGACATTCCAGCATTGGAAATAAAAGCAGGAAATTTTCACATTAAACGGTATACCTTCTAGACTGGAAATATACTTTTTCTTTCAAATTTATATATTAAAAATAGACTTTCTGATCTCAACAGTCAACACCTAATTGTATTTTAACTAATAAAATAATCTATTAAAATTATTCAAATTACAAATATCCAATTATTATTCTTGAAATAATTCAATACTATAGCATCCAGAGAAGTTGAAAATACATTTAATTCATCATTGGAAATATAAATAAATGAAGAAAAAATAGTCAAAAGAAAATAATTGTAACACCACCTCATATAAGAAGAGAAAAGGTGTTCATCTGCATATTTTTTGTAATTTGCAAATAAACCTCCTAACCTGTAATTTTGATAAAATATTTTATTATTTTGTTGACAATTTCTTTTGCAATAAGCTCCTAACACGTTTATTCTTTTTATTAACATATCATAGACAAAAAAATGTGATGCGTATGGCAAGAGTAGTAGATTTCGATCAAGGCTAAAATTTTATGGGAATATAGTTTCAATTATATTCAATATTTATTAGAGGTTGTAATTGGTGTCTTGTTCGGATCATTCTAAATCGCGCCGGACATTCACAAAGTGGACGTGATTCTGAATGCATGGCACATAATCCTATGTATTTACATATCCAATATTTAAATTTTTTTTTTTACATTTCTACCCCCCAAAATTTTCATTTTGCCTGACAAGTATCAGTATTTTAATTTGTACCAAATGAAATAAACCTATTCACGCATAGATAAAGTAACATATAACTAAATGTTAAGTTTAGATGTTAGAAATGTAAATACATAAGAATTAAGCAATATGTATGTAAATCTTCCAGATTATTTTAAATCACCGGAAGAATGTAACCAAAAGAGGAAAAAATTATTAAGGGGCCATCAAATATATGTGAATATTGTTTTATTTTAACTATATTGATTGTATAGATACAATTAATAAAATAAAAATGTAGTAAAATTTATATAAACTTATTTCGCACCTAATAATTAATCATGAAACTATTGTTTTATTTTAACTATATTGATTGTATAGATAGAATTAATAAAATAAAAATGTAGTAAAATTTATATGTACTTATTTCACCTAATAATTAATCATGAAAGAATACTTAGTGTTGGGCTGCCATGCAGTTTTTCGTTAAATAGGATTTATTAAATCCAAAAAATCCCATGAGCATTGAAATCTATGCGTAATTTCTATTGAAAAAATATTGCATCCGGATTTCAGACGTAAATTGTCTCTGGAGTCTAATCAATAATGAAGCGCCACATGTAAATTGGGTCACAGTAGGTGAGGGTGTCCCACCGTTTGGAGAAAAATTTAGGTGCATAAGAATTACGCAGCGCTGCGCAGGTCAGAAGTAGGTTATAGAGAGGGTATTCCGGGTTATATCAGCGTTATAACCATTATAACCTACATCTAACCTATCTGTAACCTATCTGTCACCTACCTGTAAGTTACAAAAATATAAAAACAGAAACGCATAACTTACTAGTGACATGTAGGTTACAGACGTAAGCACTCCGTACTTCTTACACAAAAATTTTCTCCACCATTTGAATGTAATATTTTTAAACACCGGTAATTAAAAAGAACACGGTTTCTTACCCGAGATCCTCACAAACGCAACCTGGATTCTCGCTTCCACGATCAACGCCGACCGCGGCCGCAGCCCATCGGGCCACCGCCTCCCTTGCCGTACCGCATTCAGTCATCTTCTGCGCCAGCCACAGCACCTCCGAAGCCAGCTTCTCCGCCACCATACTCCCTCCGCCTCCCTCTATTTCCCTAACCACAACCCCAACCCTCCTCAGCCCAGCCCAAATCCCACCAGCGATCAGATTCATCGGACCCCCTCCGGACCTCGGAACCACCGCCTCTAGCTTTCGAATCGTGTGCTCAAACGCCTCCAAAAGAGCGGCGCGATTGACCTCGCCGAGTCCTCCGGACGGGGAGGAAATTAGGTTTTCGTCCAGGAGTCGATCGGCGAGGCTTCGGGCGAAGTGGTATTTTCGGGAGGAGACCGGAATGATGGAGATGACGGAGAGGAGGTGGGAGAGGGCTCGGGTTGGGGGCGAAGAGGAGGAGGAGGAGTTGGATATGGTGGTGTGGGAAGAGGAAGGGGAAGAAAGGGGAAAGAGAAGAGAGATGATGAGAAGGAAAAAGCGGAGGAGAATGGAGAGGAAGAAGAGGAAGAAGCGGCGGATGAGGGGCCAGCTGGGATGAGGGAGGAGGAGGATGGAGGATTTAGGGTCTGATGTGGGGGAGTTGAGTACGGATGGTATGAACGAGGAGGCGGTGAAGACGAGGTCGCTGGAGGATGAGATGGCGGTGGTGGCTGCCGCCGTGGAGGTGGGTTTCCAGCTGCCGGGCGACGCCATGGGTTGGTGCTAGGGAGAAGGAGAGGGTCCGAGACTTTGATTCGACAGCTGCCGGGCGACGCCATGGGTTGGTGCTAGGGAGGAGAGGGTCCGAGACTTTGATTCGACGGAAACAGTATAACTCGTATGGACTATGAATCTAATTAAATATTACAAAAAAGGGATCATTTCTTGATTAAAAAAATTGATAATACGATAATTCGATTCACAAATAACATCTGAGAAAAAAAAAATTTTAATCTACAACATAATAGTTACTGAATGGGGTCAATTACACACAAAACACCTAATTTTTATCTACTTATACTTGAAGCATCTAAATTCTTTCATATTTATATCACCCAAATCTTTTCGTGAAATAAAAGCATCACTTTTTAAATTAAATGAAAAAAATTTTAATTCACCTTTTCGTGTATAACTAAGATAACAAAAATTAAATCTTCCTCAATAAATTTAATTTTTTAGCATATGTTACTTCTCATAATACCAATCCTTAACGGTAAGGAAAATATGTAGAAGAGAAATCGAGATCTTGTTGGGAATGATTTGTGAAGCTCAATTCTTAGGGTCTGTTTGGCACAATTGTAGCTCAGTTGTCCCAGTAAGTTATTGCGGAGAAGTTACCGCTGGGAAGTTGATTGGTTGTTTGTTTCAGTTAGTTGAAAATAGTTGCATGACGATTATTTCTGAGCAAATGATCATTGTGTCTCTGTTTAGTAATATTGTTTATAATAGAACTTTCATAGTCATATATTTGATACTTCAGATGCATAAAACTTTTGCAAAATTTTCTCATTATATGCCCCAAGGGACATTAATAGCTATGTATTATATGATGTTATTGTCGTATTATTGTAGTCTTATTATGATATTATTGGGGTGTTATCATGTTTTTGTTTTACCACTCAAATAACAGCTCAATAATGCCGCAAAAATACCACTTAAACGGACCACAACTACATATGTTTCCTAGCAGTGAGCATAAAAATGATGGAAAAGATGATATGTTGCCCTTTCTTGCAAAATTTTCTCATTATATGTTCAAAGGTGTACTAGTATCTATGCATAATATGTCATCACAGTATTTTTTTGAGGCAATCTATTTCGTTGCCTCACTTTAGAGTGCGTGTGTGTAATTGAAAAATATGTTTTTCTAAACCTAACATTTACAATTCGGTTTGCATGAGCATGCGCAAACATACCACAAATACATATATTGCTTAGCAGTAAGCATAAAAATGATGGCAAAGATGATCTATTGCCCTTTCTTATAATATTTTATCATTATATGGCACAAGGGGTATCAGTACATAAGCATAATATGTCATCAAAGTAATTTTTCGAGACTATCTATTTCACTGCCTCACTTCAGAGTGTGTGTGTCTGATTAAAAAATATTTTTTTAAGCATAAAATTTGCAATTTGGTTTGCATTAGCATGCTCAAACAAACCACAACTACATATGATTCTTAGCAGTTAGCATAAAAATGATGGCAAAGATGTTATGTTATCATTTCTTACAAAATTTTCTCATTATATGTCTCAAGGGATATCAGTAGCTATGCATAATATATCATCAAAGTAATTTTTTGAGGCAATTTATTTCACTATCTCACATCAGAGTAAGTGTGTGATTGAAAAATATGCTTTTCTAAGCATACCATTTACTATTTGATTTGCATGAGCATGCAAACAGACTACAACTACATATGTTTCCTAACACTGAGCATAATAATGATGACATAGATGATATGTTGCTCTTTATTACAATTTTTTCCTTATTATATGCGCAAAGAGTATCAGTAGTTATGCAGAACATGTAGTCATAATAATTTTCTGAGGCTATCAATTTCACTGCCTCAATTTAGAGTGTGTGTGCGTGAATAAAATAATATGATAAATGGCAATACCGAAAATACGAACTAAAAATTTGCTATACGATGCAAATCCACGAGAAATGAAAATTTATCAAAGAGAATATAGGTAAAAGTAATACCGGAAGAAGATGATGTCTAAAATGATGGGATAGGGCAGAGGAAGTAGAAGCTCTGCGGGGAAGGTAAGGGCAGAATATGAACATGGGTGAAATCCATGGGCAAGCGCGTAAAATATCAGAATCCAAGATCAAACCAGCTGCCCGCCTTTTGCTAAAAGACGCGGTCGCCCTGAGCAAAACACTGCCCCAAATGACGCAAAATAGTGACACTAGATCATGTTGTGTGAAAATTGTCGCCCCAAACAGGCCTTTAATAATGAACATGTGAGAAAGTAGCAACTGAGCACCCATTTAGGACAGTTTCACGACAGCGTTGCATTAGAAAACACATTTTAAATTTGTTTGGCACGTTAAGGCTCTGTTTGGGGCCGCTTTTATCATGTGACACTGCCCAAAACCACGACGAAAAAAAAATATTGTTTGAATGCTAACTTTACGGGGGCAAATTTCTAAAGCTAAGGGAAAGCGACCATGGGATCAATTTCGTGGCCTAATGTTCGCCCCGTAAATTTTACCTTTTGACCCACGAGAATATTTCCTTCTGCCCTAGCATCCGCCCCCTGAATCCCTATGTGCCTCTTCTTCCTCAACCAAAAAATGATCGAACCCAAATAATTCCAAAACCTGTTTTGCACTGGATTTAAACGATTATGATTGGAGCTTCCGTTATTATTGAAAAAGATTAGAGGTTTCGGCATTTGGAACTCTTCATTCCATCGCACCATGTAGAGGGTTCTTCCTTTTCTCTTTCTCATTTCTCCCATCTCCATCTTTCGATATTTTATGGATATGAAGTTCTTCCTAACTATTTTAGCCAGCAGTCATCAGAGTTTTGGCAAATCCTGAGGGGACAACAATCAAAATTCTTTTACTGCCTAAATAATTGTTGTTAATTTTTGCTGCACATCTTACTATTTGTTTTAGGATTTAAGATTTTGGAGAAGGACAAAATGTTAAATCCTTTGAATGATACATTATTGAGTTTGATTTGTGAGCTATTGTGGCTCCTCTTCGTGGAAGGTTGCTTGATCCGTATATATTTTGTCAAGCAAGCGAATCCGATCAAATTAATATGATTGTCTTAAGGATTTGGCTTGGTTTAGATCTTGAAAATTTTTTTCATTAATTTTCTTGAAGTTAACTTGGACATTTTTACGTTGTTAGCTTTGATCAAATAAGTTGTGTTGGCTTTCGCCTTGATCAAGTTGATTATTGGAAGATTTACATATATACGACCATCATTATTTTTAAAATTTGGTTCACGAATATTAATTGAGGTGGACGAATGGAGGAAAGCTTGAAACTGTTGAGAATATGTTGGAAGCAATGATAATTTCATTCTCACATATTTTGATTGTGAAAATGCAATTATCTTCTTTGAGGGATTTAAGTATTCGTAGACTTTCAAAGTAATAAATGATTTCCAACTACATACAAGCTAAAAATGAATTCCAATAAATTCATCATTATTTTGAACATATTTTTAAACTTCAATATTTTTAAACTTTTTAAACTTCAAAATAAATTTATCATTATTTTGAATTTCTGCTTCTGAATTATTAAATAAATGGGTGTCGCAGTTCTGTTATAAACAAATCAACTGAATAGGGGCAGAACGGTCAATTTTTCAGAAACCGTTGTCCCACAGCTGCAACAAACAGGCAGTCAGCTTTCCTACAGCAGTTTCCCCGTAGCTGCACTGCAGCAGTTTCCCCACAACAACTTCTCTGTAGCTGCACTGCAGCAGCTTCTTAGGGCGGCACAGGTGTAGCTAAAAAGCTGAGAAGTTGTAGCTGCACCAAACAAGCCTAAGGCTCTGTTTGGGGTTTCTTTTATCGCGCGGCCCAACAACAAACCGTGATGAAAAAAAATATTGTTTGAATGCTAACTTCGTGGGGGCGAATCGTGGAAACTAGGGGAAAGCGGGCTGTAGGATCAACCCCACAGCCCATGTGTGCCCCATAAATTTTACCTTTTAACCAGCGAGAGTATTTCCTTTTGTCTTAGCGTCCACCCCCTGCTAAGAGCCTTCTCTCGCAAATCCCCCTACGCTTCTTCTTCCACACCAAAAAACGATTGAAACCAGGTAATTCCAAACCCTGTTGTGCATTGGCTTTAAGTAGATATGATTGGAGCTTCCATTATTAATGAAAAAAATTGGAGGTTTATGCATTTAGAACTCTTAGTTCCATCGCACCACGTAGAGGGTTCTTCATTTTTTCTTTCTTATTTCTCACGTCTTCATCTTTCAATATTTCTTAGATCTAGAGTTCTTGCTAACTGTTTTTAGCAAATAGTCATCAGATTTTTTGGTAAATCCTGAGGGGATAACAATCAAAATTCTTTTACTTCATAAATAGTTTTTGTTAATTTCTGCTACACATCTTACTATTTGTTTTAGGATTTAAGATTTTTGAGAAGGACAAAATGTAAATCCTTTGAATGATGCATTATTGAGCTTGATTCGTGAGCTATTTTGGCTCCTCTTCGTGAAAGGTAGCTTGATTCATCTATAGTTTGCCAAGGAAGCATATTCGACAAATTAATATGACTGTCTTCTATATTTGGCTTGGTTTAGGTCTAGGAAATTATTTTCATTAATTTTCTTGAAGTCAACTTGGACAGTTTTACGTTGTTAGCTTTGATCAAACAAGTTGTATTTGATTTTGCCTTGATCAAGTTGATTGTTGGAAGATTTACATATATATAACCAACATTATTTTTAAAATTTGGTTTACGAATGTCAATTGAGGTGGAAGAATGGAGAAAAGCTTGAAATTGTTGAGAATATGTTGGAAGCAATGATAATTTCATTCTCACTTATTTTTATTTTGAAAATATAATTATCTTCTTTGAGGGATATAAGTGTTCATAGACTTTCAAAGTAATAAAAGATTTCTAACTACAATCATGCTAATAATGAATTCTAATAAAGTCATCATTATTTTGAACATATTTTTAAACTTCAAAATAGATTCATCATTATTCTGAATTTGTACTTCTGAATTTTTAAATAAATGGGTGTCACAGCCCTGTTACAAATAAATTAACTAAACTGGGGCAGAACTGTCAATTTTCCAGAAATAGTTGTCCCATAGTTGTTTTCACGCTGTTGAAACAAATAGACGACCAGCTTCCCAGCAGCTGCACTGCAGCTGCTTCCTGGGGTATCGTAGCAATAGTTGAAAAGCTGAGAAGTTGTAGCTGCATAAGGTTATTTTTATCAGGCGGCGGGTCCCCAAACTGCGACGAAAAATATAATACTGTTTGGATGCGAACTTCATGGGGGCAGATCAGGGAAACTGGAGGAAAGCACGTTGCGGGATCAACTCTGCGGCCCCATGTTTGCCCCGCAAATTTTACCTTTTGACCCGTAAGAATATTTCCTTCTGCCCTAGCGTCTGCCCCCATCTACTAGGCTTCTCTCACGAATCCCCCGCGCATATTCTTCCTCAACCAAAAAACAATCAAAACTAGGTAATTCCAAACCCTGTTGTGCACTAGCTTTAAGTGGATCTAATTGGAGCTTCTGTTGTTGATCATATTTTGTTAAAAACAAAGAACACAGAATATGATCTTAACATCAGAGTTCTAGCTCATGGGTTTTTTATCTTATTTGACTAGGTTATTTGGGTGCAAAATTTTACCTAAAACAACAAAACACAACTCTCACATGTGCCTACAAGTTCTCTCTCAAAATTTCAAAATAGTGGAATGGAACACAAATTTTTTTAACGTCGAAAAACAAAAAATCATAGCAAGAGCTCTAATGTTAAGATCATATTTTGTGTTTTTTGTTTAAGGGAAGTTGAATTAAGTAATTGATCAAGAACTCATTTTAGTTAGGAAGGTTGGTTGAATTTAATGAAAAACTTTAAAAAAAAAAGGAAGTCAGTATGACAAACCACAATTAAAAAAAATTGATCAATTAAAAAAGGTCAGAAATTATGGAAGGAGCTTAAGCAAGGCTCTACTAGATTAGGTTGGGATCCTAAAAGAAATAACTCACACCAGATGAATGGTGGTAAGAAAAGTTAAGGGTAAAGAATGCATTAATTTATTCTTGTATTTGTCATTTCATACACTTTATCTAATACATACGTTCTCAAACAATGCATGATATTTTATATGTTATCCCAAATGCAAAGAAATTTCATTTTTGCGGCATAGACCTGGATTAGAAGAGAAGCATGATTTGATGTTCATGGGTGCGGTTGCTACTAGTGCCCATGCATGAACTCCCAGGCAATGAATTGGAGATATGGATGTGTTGACCTCACTTTTGGTTGAGG